CATGAACATGACATTATTATATTTTTGTAATTAGGCGTAATTGCTTTATTTCAAATTAGAACTTTGGATAGGAAAAAGAATTAATTTTCGGTCCAAAAAAATGGCCTAAAGAGTCTTAAAAATTTCTTGGGAAGAAAAAAAAACAAATGCAATAGCCTATATTCCATGTATTCTACATTCCATGTAGTGCTAAAAACTTCTTTCGAAGTAATCCCTCGTGACGAAAGCGAACACAAAACAGCTGATATCAATTTAAAAAAATCATTACGGAGCGATTCTGAATATAGTTGGAAGAATGCAAAAAGAGCAAATCCAAATCGCTCCGTCAGCCTTTCTAGCGATAATCCATTCATACCAGATGCCCGCGTAGGAAAAAAGTTCGAAATTGCGTGTATATATAGCGAGTTCGACTTTCAGCACAGAGATGCTTTCGTCACTCGCGCCTGTCGCCGGCTGTGATCAATTGACACCAAATTTTATCCAAATTGCAATCTGGGAAGTACCAAAATTTGTGTACAGGTTCTAGCTTGTAGCTACACGAAACAAGTCGTAAACCGAACAAAAGTCCACCGCCTGGGTGACTCGTAGAGCAACAAATGCAAAAAATGCAGAAAAATTGGCATTTTTTCGGTCATTTTACACTGTAACTGGCTCAGAATGCCTTTCAAAGGGCTGATGTCTTGATAAGAGTTGAAGATATTGATGAGCCAAACAAAACCCCATCATTGGTTTTTACCGAAAATTGGCTGGAAAAATGATTCAGGTCCAAATGTTGCGATATGAATTGGCTGTCATGAAAATTTTGATATAAAAACTGGCAGGGTATTCTATATGGTACCCATATGATTTTTTTGGACAAAACCTATTTTTTTATGTATATTTTTCGAAACCGCGCGGCATTTTTTTTGTGGACAACTTTTTTCTTTTACCAGTCTAGTGGGTGTTCACATTCGATGCGATCGTGTCTATTTCATTGTGTAGCTAACATCAATCTTGTGTTCACATTCGTATACGTGATAGTGGGTGTCACATTTCTATCATTCATTTTATTGCATAATTTCATTTTTGGTGTGATTACGGAAAAAACTGTGTTGCGTGTTGTGTGTTTCGAATGTGTTTGAAATTCAATAAACCCGTTTTTTTGATTTTCTAATCAGAAGACACCAAAAAATGGTGCAGTTAATTATTGACTTATAAGTAATTAACCCTCTAATGCATACAACCGCCTCTAGACGGGCAACATTTGAATGCCTGTAGAACGTTAACCGTACATCGGATCACATTGCTTCGAAAGAATTTTTATTGGTCAATGTATTCTCTTTATTTTTGTCTTTGGCAATATTTGTCTATGTAGTGTGATTGTAAAGTTATAAACAAAAATGTGTGCAAAAACATAAATTTGAAAAAATAAATTATTCGAACATTAGAAATTAGACAAATTTTTGACACTCTTAAATAATGGATTTGATTGTTCTCTGATTTATGTCAATCGCATTTTCTGACTAAACCATGAGGAGTCCAGGATTATGAATATTTTTTTAATTATCTATGGCCAAAACTCAACCAAGTACCAGTACTCCCAGCCCCGGGAAAAATTAATGCATTAGAGGGTTAACGGCAATTCTCTATGATTGATCCATCAAATTTGAATTCACAGTATTATGACGGTTGTTGCTGCTCGAGATTAAACTAGCTTCAACACAATTTTCGAGTGGATTAAAATAAAAATTCTTTCAATCCAAAGCAGAGATTGCATATTTGCTGCTGAGTAGTCCTGAGCTGAGCTGAATCAGGCGCCTGAAGCGTTATTTTTACGTATTCACAGTACAAAATTCATATTCCCAGCCAGATCAGCCTCAAATCTGACTTGGCTGGGAATATGAATTTTGTACTGTGAATGCGTTAAAATAACGCTTCAGGCGCCTGAGTTGGCAAATTCAGCTCAGCTCAGGCCTACTCAACGGCAAATATGCAATCTCTGATCCAAAGATACATTTTCATACATTTTTTTTCTATGAAAATCATCTGACTTACTAGAGTTCTTCGACTTTATTTACATTATTTTGTGCTTGAAATTGTTCGAAAATTGCTTCAAATGAATAGTACACAATCTAAAGAATCTACCACAGGCGGATTTATGAGAAATAAGTTGGGAATCTGAATCTATTTGCGTTTTATTCATAAAAATATTTTTTCTGAAAAATTACGAAATTCCATGGAATTAGAAAAACTTTCACTTTCCATTCGAAGCAAACAAAACTCTTATTTAGTTTTCATAAATACGTTCTGGTAGATTCTTTAGATTGTGTACTATCCGTTTGAAGAAATTTTCGAACAATTCCAAGCACAAAAAATGAAGTACTCTAGTATGCCAGATGATTTTTATAGAACAAAATGAGCTCAAAATTCACCATATTTGGACCAAATATCTCAAGCCAATCCATTAAAACGAGCTAAAATGATTTTTTCAATAATATTTATGAATTGAAACCAGAATACATACATTTTTCAAATGAAAAACGTACAATTTTCTGTAGAAAAATGTGATATTTCCAATCGTTCCCAAACTTTTGATCAGTACTGTATGTTCTAATGCCAAGGAAAAATTGATTGATTTAAGAAGGAAAAATCGTTTTTCAATTTGATATGCGATTAACAGTGGAATAGTAGAAAGAACATTTGTAAATAGAAACGTGTAGAAAAGTGTTATTTTCAAACTATGAATTCATTTTCCGCTCCAATCCACTGTAAAATAACAAGCTTGCTTAGTGTCTTGAGAAGTGTGTGTTGTGTTGGTTTCAAAAAGTGGACTCACTTGAAAAAAATCTGACAATCCTCTTATTTTGATCAAATATGGTTTGATAAAAGCAAACATGTCGAACGATACACTCAAATGAGAGATGATCGCCAAGTGGTATTAACTATTGCAACAAATTAAAGCGTTACATCAAGTTGCTTGGGAAATAACAAACGGAAAATGACAAACTGCATGTTATTTTTTTTACCACTTCATCTTCGCCTTATACAAAGGCTTATTTTACAGAGAGTATTTTTCAGCTCTGGGTACGAAACAGATGACATCAGCTACGGATATTTTGTTTGCCCGCTCGAACTGTGATTGTAACTGTATCCGTCCAAATGGCGGATGTTTTCAATCTCATTCTCATTAGTTTTCACTAATTTTATTGACAATCGCGATGTAAAAATGTCAACAATCATATTTCACTAGCTTTTTGGCACTACATGGAATGTAGAGGTTACTTACCTGGTTCTCTTTTCTTCTAGTATTTTTTTGAGTATCGAATAAAATTGAAGTGAATGTTCTCTTTTATGCTCATATTATTTATTCAATTTAAACCAGTAGCAGTATCTTTCAAAAATGAAATAAAACCAAAACTTTGTAATTCAATTTTGAATGACCTGAGAAGAAGGGCATATTCCCTAAAGTTTGACCGTATCTGCTACCAATCGTGGCGATTGACGACGTCGACCATACAATTTCTCATTCCTCTATCCGGAAAGAAGCATTAAATCGCATCAATGCGAATAATATGCGTATAATAAACTCTGTGTGTACAAGTTAAATTCATCAATTTAAGTTTTGATTGTTTGTTTTAATTTCTTCTACAAGAAATTTTAATTTTAGTTCTGAGCGGTCAGCGTAATCTCAGCACGGATATAAGGTGGAAAAAAACAAATACTCCAGGTAAAAAGCAAACGGTTGTTGTTGAAAATGACAATCAAATAGCCACTTGTGTCTGCTTTTCTAGCTGTACGTCCAAAACCATTTAATGATTTTTTTTCTTCGGAACTTTTCAATGGTGTCTTAAGTGGTTATACTGTTTTCTCTATCTTTCCTTGTATCGTTGTCTCTTGTTATTGAATCTAACAAAAAGGCACACACCGACAGCGGTCGTTGGTGGAATGGAGTGTAGGTAATCTACTGACCTTTGCAGTATGAATCTGAATATTTCGTAGAATCGCGTAATTGCCTCACCCATTCGTTCGCGATTCCAAATCGACTGAATACCACATTTTGATTCTGTGAATTTGCGTAAATAGCATTGAATATGTTTTAAACTTGAAACCCACGGAAAGATTACAAGAACGGACACGAATGCTCTATTGAATGGCGGTATTTCAAACTTTGTTTCTCATCTTTTTTCTCTTGTTGTTGCCTCAAGCCCGGGAAAAATATTATCACCTTTTTTGGTGGACTCACATTATGGTTTCATTTTGAGTGTGTAATGCGCCATTTTGCGTGGGTCAGTTCGAGGTATTATTTGTGTGCCAACAACAAAACACAGACTTAGCTAGTCCCTGGTGCCAATTTTTTGTGACTTAATTTTAGTTACTTAATCATTTTTCTTCATACAATTTATGAGTGACAAGTGATTGTAGCGATATTTTGGGACATTTTAACTATATTTTGTACGTGCTTTTATTGGAATTTCAATCACTAGGCGGTTATTGTTGGCTGACTAATTCGGTCGAATTAATTGAATTTATTTCAACATCGATTGTAATCGATTGGTATCCTATCCACAGTGCTTCAAAAAAATGCGCTCAAAATATTCCAAAATTGGCGGCTAGCTAGTAGTCAATGTTTTTTCAAAAAGGGTCGCATAGTTCGCATCCGGGTAGAAAAATCCAATCAAAATGACGACCATACGATGCAGTGAAGTAACGAATGAAACAGCTAAAGTTGTTTAAATTGGTGCTTGAATCTTTTCAATTTTCAAATGTGAATTTGGAACGTTAGAATAATAAAATCCAGCCAATACTTTGTGCACACACAAATAATCAACAAAGATGAGCAACAAATGTTCAACAGAAAGCATTTTTGAAAAAAAATGTGCCAAAAAAAACAAAATGCATGAAATGAATTAATATTGACGGCAAGATATGTCAAAACGACACACAAAAACTACTCGATACGTCAGCGAGACACGAATGTTGTCGTCATAAATCCAAAAATGTATAATAGAGAGTGACCTTACCTTCTTGTCTTTTGTGGAGAAAACCAAAAACGAAGAACGCCTCGGCGGTAATGAGTCATGTACTCGCTGTATTAATTTTGCAAATCAACGGTTCGAAGATGAAACGTTTCCCAATTTCGGCTGTAAACTAGTAATACTTCTGAATGTTCGATATTTATTTACGCCCGCTCGTTTCACGTCTTTCGTTTTATTTTGTAGATTCGTTTTGATGAGCGGCACTGTGTCTTTTTTTGAATGGCACTGAATCTTTTCGTATTATGTTTTTTTTTTCTAAATTGGAATCACAGTCTTGTTTATATTTTTTTCAAATTCATTTCAATCACACTAAATGTTCGATGCTATTCTCTTTTACAGGATCCACACTGCATTTGCATCACTTTAAAATGACCACAAAAATACAATAAATTAGTTTGAAAATCCACTTGATCCAAATTGATGCGTTTGTTTTTATGGTAGTTGATCAAAAGCGATCAAACATCATAAAAATCTTGTACAGTAGAAGAGTAAGAGACAAAAAACAACAATAAATAAACAAAAGAACACATCGGAATGAGTCTCAAGGTAAAATTTCGAAATCATTGGAATATAACCGTGTATGACAAAAAATTTCAGTTCATTTGGGCCGTTAATCTTGACGCGCATTATTGACAATACACGGTTATATCGATTTTTATACAGTGTATAATTGTAACTGGACGCGTCAGGTGGATATTTTACAAATGCATGACAACGAAATTTGCCACACAGAGAAAAACAGAGAGACTGCGGAAATGACCTGAAGATGAAGCTGATAATTTTTTCCCAAAACGACAATTTTTTCAGTAAGCATCCAACCGAATATTGCACCACACACCAAAACAAAATCAAAACAGCCGGCATGAATTTTATGCCAAGAGGACACAGTGTTTCATTGTGGAAAAGCACATCGCCCGGCCGAATGTTGTTGTGAAATGATCACCAAATTAGGTAAACACAATGCGTAAGAAGAGAGTGTTCATGATCTCATACTCGTTCGTTCATCTATTCATTCAACTTCTTCTTTTTAATTTAAATTAATAATAATACACCGCCAAAGACTGGCTGTTTTCATACTATTTTTATAATAATTGATAAAATCAAATAAATAATATAAATAGAGATGATTCTGCTTAGTTCATAACTTTGAAAAAAGCAACTTGAATATCTTTTGGTACATATCGTTTTCGATTGTTGTTATGTCTCGCTTATTATGCAATATGCCATAATCATATTGGAACACACAGACACGCAAATCACGAACTCACCGATCGCTTCGGTTTTTGTTGAATTTCATTGCAATGGAAATAAGAAAAACCATATGAGATACGCGTGGGTGTGTTGTGTTTTTTTCTTTCGATCAATAACTGCGAAGCACGCATTTTAGCCGCGTGAAATATATTTTTTTGTTCATTTTCTTTTCGTTTGTGGCCGTTTGTTTCATCTTGTTCATTCGTAGAATACGGAGCAAATATTATACACTACCGACCAAAAGTTTGAGGGACCCTGAAAAAAGCATTTATTCTATGTTTTTTCGTCTTATTCTACCCAAATTAAGTTCTTAAAATGTGAAAGCCCATTGAAATTCTGACCGAATGAAATATTTTAAAGACAATATTTGGCCGGCCTATGGCCATTTTCGGCCTATGAGAAATGGAGGCCAAAAATGAGTTTTTAACGGGCCGTCGGATTGAAAAGTTATATATTTATATCACTGGAAAGTTCTTCAAAAGTAGATGTCATTTTTGGTAATAAACATCAAAATTGGCCAGCGTTTAGCCAAGATATGGCCGTTGGAAAATGGTAAAATGAGACAGCCAAATTTTTTAAACGGCCATATCTTGGCCAAATGGCCACCGATTTGAATGCTTTATACCAAAATCCACATGTACTTCACAAGACCTTTTCAACGACACATAACACGGCCAAGATATGGTCGTTTAAAAAATTTGGCCGTTTCATTTTACCATTTTCCAACGGCCATATCTTGATCAAACGCCGGCCGATTTTGATGTTTATTACTAAAAATGACATCTACTTTTCAAGACCTTTCCAGTGATATATATAACTTTTCAATCCGACGGCCCGTAAAAAAACTCATTTTTGGCCTCAATTTCTCAATGGCCGAAAATGGTCATTGGCCGGCCAAATATTGTCTTCAGAATATTTCATTCGGTCAGAATTTCAATGGGCTTTCACATTTTAAGAACTTAATTTGGGTAGAATAAGACGAAAAAACATAGAAATAATGCATTTTTCAGGGTGCCTCAAATTTTTGACCGGTAGTGTATGTTTTGGTCTAGGTTTTGGTTTCTTAACTTCAGCACATGAGAAATACATTGACGAATTTTCAGCGAGTACAAACAATTCAAATACTTGATCTTCGCGAAAGAAGTAAAACAAGAAAAAAAATTTACACATCAATTGGGATTAAAAATGTTAAAAATGATTTCTCTATGGGATTAAAAATGTCCAATCGAAAATGATTGTGAATCTATTTCTTTGGATGGTTTGGTGGCGCAGCGGCCAAATAAAATTGATAAAACGAAAATCAGTAAAAAATATTGAGTCAATTTTGTTACGCACTTAACATATGAACTGATTTGTAATTTGATTTTTTTCCGGCTCGATTTTTATCACTTTCTATTTTAGAATAGAAAATTTTCAGCTTTTGCTTCATTTCATTTCCAAATTCTTTTTTCTTAGCACAAAACCAATGTTTTTACACTATCGCAGTATGATCTCGTGTATGAGAATTTATTGTGATGATTTTTCATGCTTAATTCTTGCTTTGAACTTGCATGATGTGTTGATTAATTGTTGAACACAATAGTTTAGCATTTTTCATTGACATAGAACTTTTATTTGAATCTATCGTTGTTGTTTTGACCAATTACGACTTCAAACATCAAACCATTAATCATTCACACAAACAATGAATCTTAACGAAGAAACTGAAAGACTAAAATCCTCAATCCAAACTAACCAATTCAAATGGTGTTGATGATTCTCGCTTTTCTATGTACAAAATTCGTTGATCAACAGCAACAGTTTAACAGCACCCACATGATGGTGCTCTTCACTGTTCGAATACCTGTACTCTACTGTCGATTTCAGCTTTTTTGCGCTTAACCGTACAACATAACTTTCGTTTGCGTGCGATTCACTTCGAGAGAGATAGAGATGAATACAGAATATATGTCAACAACGCGCTGGAGTGTGCGTAAAAGCTGGCGTTTGCGTTGGCGTTGTGGTTTTGCTGTTGCGATCATCTGTTTCGTCTATTCGCTCTCTTCATATTACCTTAATTGAGCTAGCACGAATCGTTTTATACGATATATCGGGCATTCTGTGCTAAATCAAATCCATGGTTTTTGGATTTCTTTGATTGTTCCCATTCAAACTTGCTGCCAATTCGATCAAATAACTGAAAAAACAAAAAATATCGGGTCTGGCAGCCGCTGGTCTCGTAATTTGTACGAAATCCAACTATGATCACATTAGGTTGTGGTGTGAGACTTAGTTATTTCTACCTGTGTGACGTCATCGCGACATTTGACTGAGAAAAAAATATATACGCCGATTTCACACCAATTTTGCTTCGTTTTTTCCCACGGGACCATTGATTTTTATGCATTCAGTCGATGCACCGTGATGAGCACTTCAAAAAATTACCCGGGCTTGATGGGTGTTAAACGCCATCTTGCGGCTGAAAATTGATTTTTTTTACAGAAATCAACCAGTCTCTAGTGTAGAATACATTAATTATTTTTGCAAATGCCTATGCGTGATCGCTGAGCCATCACTCCAAACCCCCCCCCCCCCCCCGAAACAATATTATTTTCGGTCTAATTTTCACAGGGAAGTTTTTCCATGGTGGTTTCCAGGGGGTTAAATTTCGAAAAACCCGTCTTTTCCTTCTTTCAACTTCTACATGCCAGGAAATTTATGCGTTTTTGAAAAAGTTATAGATCATGTCATGGCTGGTAACCATGCTGAACAATTATTCCCAAAAAATAATCCCTTCCCAGGTTTGAAAGTCACCCCGAAAATTATAGATTTCTAATCCACCCTATTGCATAAGAGGGTGGATCTGGGGATGAGCGAGCACACATGCATTTGCAGAATCTTTATTGAAGACTAGAGACTTTCACTGCTTTCTTCAGTTTTTTACACTTTTCAGCCGCAAGATGGCGTTTAACACCCATCAAACCCGGATAATTTTTCGTAGTGTTCATCACGGCGCATCGACTGAATGCATAAAAAACAATGGTCCCGTGGAAAATAACAAAGCGAAATTTGATTTGGAATCGTCGTTGTTACTCAAATGTCGCGATGACGTCACACAGGTGGAAATAGCTAACCAGTAAAGGTCGCTAGTTCACACAGAAATTTTTGCAAATGTCAAAGCGCATTTGATGGACAATCGCTCCGAACCTCCTAAAAAATTGGTTCCCGTTTTCACTGGGGAAGTTTCTAGGGGGGTTCAAATTTTGGAAACTCACTTCATTCCGGAGACTATAACTTCCAAACGGCTGGAAATGTCTAAGAAGTTTTTTTTGAAAAGTTGTAAATCTCATCGAGCTTGAAAATTTTGTCAAACAAACAATCCCCAAAGAACCACCCCTTCAGGCCCAAACATCATTCCGAAAATTTAAGTTGACCAGATTGCTCAAAATAAGCACGTTATAGCTTAAAGGGATGGTTTTTTGAGGATAAAGTGTTCTACAACATTTTCAATTTTGGAAAGATCTATAATTTTCCCGAAGGCACCATGTGAAAATTCTCAACCCTTTACAAGTTACGTTTCTGGAAAATCGGAAAATAGGGGTTTCTTGGAGATCATAACTTTAAAACGGCTGTGAATTTTCACATGGTGTCTTCGAGAAAATTATAGATCAGATGAAAAACCTCTAGACGTGGTTAAAATGGAGTGACGCTCCTGTGCGTGGATTTACCACTCAAAATGACTGATATCATTTTGAGTGACGCTTTGACGCTGTATTATCTCTGGGTACGAAGTTCAAAAGTGTTTTTCGCATTCACTATTGTGAAAATTTATTTACAATAAGGAAAAATATCTTGCGTCACGACTTTTGGACGGCAAAACGCTTGAAAGTTTGACTTGGAGACTAAATTCAAAAGTTTTGATATGGATATAGAATCGGAAATTTATCGAAATTTTCCAACCGCTATATTTTTGCCTAGACCACACTTTGGGCATAGGGGTTATGGTGTTTCCGACTATTTGGGCCAAGACCTTTCCAACGGTACCTAACATGCCGGGACCCAAATAGTGTCCTGAGAAAATAGCATATTTACTGTATATATACTCGTGACGCAAAAACTGGCATTTTTGATATTTGGCTTGAAATGCACAGTCTATGGTGCGTCACTTGTCGTACTATCGTCCTCCGTGATCTTGTCAAAATTGAAAATGTTGCAGAACACTTCATCCCCAAAAAACCATCCCTTTAAGCTATAACGTGCTTATTTGAGCAATTTTTCGATGGAAATCGACATTATTTGAAGGATTTATCGGAGAAATTGATTAAAAAATAATTTCATTCGAATTTTCATAAAACTTAAGTAACTTCCGTACTTCCCATATGCTTTTTTTACATTAAACCAAAGGGATATTGCAACTTTTTTGACCAGAAAAAACGCCATCTTACGTCTTTCCCGTAAATTATTTTACTGCACATTTAGATGGTAAAGTTTGAACAAAAGTTCGACACTATGTATAAGCTTGGAAAGAGCTTGATAAACTTGATGAAATACATATATTTTATGGTCGTTGCAATACCCCTATGCATTAAACACATGTGTGTCTTAACAAAAAATTGTATTCAATTTTTTATTGTACTTCTGGAATGACTTTTGAAAATAAAGATTTTTTTGTTTCAAAATTTGAGCGACTAAATGCGGTTGAGTCATTTATTGCGATAAAATTCAAAAATAATTCAAATGATTTGTTCTTTTTCGGAAATAAGATTCTCCTGGCAGCCACTATATACAGTGAGTTTTCCTGCATATAAAATGTCAC